GGTTCGTTGGACTTCCTGAATGGATATATTCTCATCTTTCCTCATTTCAGGGAAGTTGTCCTCCAGCAAATCTTGGACAATTTTCTCAGTGGTTTTATTTTTCTCTTCCTGTTCTGGAATTCCAATGACACGTAAGTTACTCCTCTTGATGGTATCCCACATGAACCTTAGGCTTTCTTCATTTTGTTTTGATCTTTTTTCTGATTGATCCTTTTCCAACGAAGTATTCAGGTATTTGTCTTCAATCTCATTAATTCTGCCTTCCATCACATCACTTCTCCTTTGCCCTTCCAATGTGTTATCTATTTCTGACAATTTAGTATTAATCTTCTGGGTTTCTATCTGTAGATTTAGAATCATTTTTAATTTTTCGTTTGTTTTGTCATTTTGTTCTTGTATTTTCTTCCAAAATTCTTCTAAGGTTTTTTCTGTGTTTTCTTTGGTCTGCCTCTCAATCCTTTGAGGATACCTAAAGGTAATTCTTTTGAATTCCTTATCAGAGAGTTCCAATGCTGCTTCTTCCTCAGGGATGTGTTCTGGGTCTGTATCCTGCTCCCTTGTTTCTACCACTTTATCCTGCTTCCTTGTGTGGACTGTGATGGTCTGTTGTCTCCGAGGCATTGTGAAATTGTTGTATTTAGATCTCTGTTAACTGTTTGTGAAGAGCAGCCAAGGGTGGTTCAGGCTCTTCTTGGTTTTTTATTGTTGGCCCATTGGTGGAGAAGAAGGTAGTGGCTTCTCGCTCAGTAAGTGAAGTTGCAGGAGGTGTGGGTGTAGTTTTATCTTATGGGGACTGTTGTTGTCTCTCACTCAGTTAGACACAAATTACAATAGAATAACCATCTAAAAACTTTTCAGTCTTGCAGGCCCCGAGTGTCCTTGGGGTTGCTGGAAAGCAGAACGTGTTCTTAAGCCCCAGGAATCTGCCAGAGCACTCTTTAAATATCCAAAATAGTCAAGCCACTTTTTAAACCTTCAGAATAGCGGTGCCCTCTGGACCAGCAAAAATCAGCCCACCTTTCTCTTCACCTTCTCCGTTTGTTCCCCAGCCACCGTGCACAGTCCTCCATGCAGTCCCTGGCTAGCAGGGTGATTTTTAGGTTAATTCTTAGGTCCTACCACCACTTGGGAATCTCCAAGTTGTCTGTACTGTCAGGATCGCTACCAGACTGGGGCTCCGTATGTCTCCTTTATTGGTATTTTCACGTAAAGTCTTCTGCTAGTTGAGGTTTAGTCCACTTCTATATCCTTCCCTTCAAGGTCAGGGGTCCAAGATTATCTTCTGTATCTGTTAATTGGTTTCTCTTTTCTTTGTTGAAGAGGGTTGTACAGTCTTTCTGCCTAGTCCTCCATCTTGCCAGAATCTCTTCGTTTTATTCTTAAGGGTTATTCTTAGCTGTAAGATTATTATAATATTAATTATATTATCATTTAGATCTATAATTCCTTTTGAGTTCATTGTAATTAAGATCTGAGGTGATGATTGAGATTTATTTACTTACTTTTGTGTATGCATATTCATTGTTCTAGTACCATTTGTTGAAAAGATTATCCTTTTTCCACCCGTTTTGCCTGTTCACTTCTTAGCCCCCTTTCTTGCCTTTTCTCCTTTGTCGTTAACATCTAATGTAAATATTTACTTTGTTAAATGTCCCTCTGTCTCCAACCTTCTAGAGTATAAACTTCTCAAGAGCAGGTTTTTTTTTTTTTTTTTTAATTCTCTCTTGTATTCCCAGCATCTTGTATAATACCTTGGACACACTAATTAAAAAGAATATAGTTGAATGAATACACATACCTCTTGATATTTGTGCCTGGCTCAGAGTCATTGTCCTTTGAATAGTGCTTGTGATATATAGAATCATTTTTGCTTTTTGCTGTCTTCTTTTAGACCATTCCTTTTCTACAAACATATTTCTTCTGAGAGCCTTCAAGTTACATTTGCTCCCACAGTGTTCATGCAGCTCTCTCATTGAATTTAACAAATTTCACTGAAATTTTGTTTAGGGATTGGCCTTTGTACCAGACTGCAAGATATTTTAGTTCACATTCCCTCCACTTTTGTTAGCTCTCTTTTGCCTCATACAGTGCTTGGTACTCAGCAGATCTCTGCAGAACTTTTAAATGAGTTTTTGTCTTCCTTCTGTGTCACATTTTAGTCACACCTAATTGAGGTACTAATTGAGGTACAGGAGCTCTGGTAGCATAGTGCCTAAGGCACTTGACAGCTAACCAGAAGGCTGACGGTTCAAACCCACCAGCCACTCGTCGGAAAAAAGGTTGGGCAATCTACTTCAGTAGTGATACTGCCTTGGAAACCCAAGGAGGGGTCGCTAAGAGTGAGGTCCGACTGGATGGCACATAACAACAACACAACAACAATTGAGGTATGGGTCACCTTAACTGGATTCCGTTGTTTTGTAAGTATATTCTTCCCAAGTTGCTCCTTCCATGCAATTTTATTTTATTTTTTTAGTTTTTATTGTGATTTGGATGAAGCCCATCATTGCAGCCACTATGTCAGTCCGTCTCCTTGAGGGTCTTCCCCTTTTTCACTGACCTTCCACTTTACCCAGCCTGTCATCTTTTTCCAGGGACTGATCCTTTCTAACAATGTGACCAAACTATGAAAGATGAAGTTTCTCCATTCTTGCTTCTAAAGAGCATTCTGGCTGTCCTTTTCTCCAAGACAGATTGGTTTGTTCTAGCAGTCCTTGATGCCTTCAGTATTCTTCGGCAACACCATATTTCAAAAGCACCAGTTCTTCTCTGGTCTTCCTTATTCATTGTCCAGCTCTCACATGCATATGAAATTACTGAACATACCATGACTTGGGTCAGGTGTGCCTTTAGTCTTCAGAGTAACATGTTTGCTCTTAAACACTTTAAAGGTGAATAGACTACGTATTTTAGCAGGCATTTGAGGATGTTGTGGAAGTAATTGTTTACTAAAAGATTTGTTGTAGAAATGTGGTTTTCCTTCCTCTCTTTTTTTAACGTTCTTCCTGAAAGTATATGTTAACTAATAAGACTTTTTTGAAAACCATGCTCAATGCTAACATTCTTTTGCTTACCTAAACCCTCTTGGGCAGAGTGCCATGGTGTAGCTTATTAAAAAAAATTGTTAATGGAGTCTTAGAAATGACAGAGGATGATGAACCAAATGTTAAACACATTGCCAAATAGGTTTTTTCCCTCTGCTTTCTGGTCTTTTAACATGCAAAGAAGAGAAAGAACTCTGGTCTACCATATGCATATATTGGGAGCTCTGGTGGTGTAATAGCTAAGGCATTTGATTGCTAACCTGAAGGCTGGTGGTTCACACCCACCAGCCACTCCTGGAAAGGAAGGTTGGGCAATCTACTTCTGTAGAGATACTGTCTCAGAAACCCAAGGAGGGGTCACTATGAGTCAGGTTTGACTTGATGGCAGTGAGTTTTCTTTTTTTTTAAATATGTGTATATTATCTCAGTTGAACTTATATTCTTATTTATGTAACCTATTTTATATTAGGAAATCTAGAGACATAGTTACAAAATGGTGGAGCTGTTACTTGAAACTAAGCCTTTCTGGTCCTGGTAACTGCACTTCTTCAACATGTGCTAATGCCTCTCCAAATGAGAAAGATCAGATAAGCACTCTGTTGTGTACAGAGAAAAGAATAAAGTACATAAGGGCAGTTCCAAGTTTAAATCATGTCTTTGATTCTCTGATCTTCTGAAAACACTTTCTGTGTTCCAAGTATGTGAGAAAATGAGGAAGGAATGAGAGAAAAGCAAACGACCCGTTCGTTGAGTAAAATGGATTATTTGAATGGTGTAGATCCAGAAGATATGTACTGTCAAAGATTCTTTGTTATAATTCCTTTCTGTATTTATTTAGCTGGAAGATTGTTTTCCAGTTTAGCTGTCATAAAAAAGTTGAAACCTTGTGCAGAATTTTGCCTCTTACTAAGTTACATACAGATTTTTCAGACAGAAAATGCCTTTCAGTATAGGTAACCTCTTAAATGGATTTCATTGCTTATTCTAGTCTCTTCCGAGAGTTAAAGATAGCGTGTGAGATTGAAATGTATTTTTTTTCCTTCTAGATTAACTGCTGAAGTACTGATCGAGTTCTGCGTTTCTTCAATGAGGAACTACAGGCTGATCTTCTGCCATAACCTCAAACAGCCATAAATGACAAAAGAATGCTTGCTCAGTGAGGGTAGCTGGTGCAGACGCCATTTTTTAAACTTAGGTGTTTAAGTACTCAAAGGTAAGTTTGCAAAATGGTATCTATCCCATGTTCTATGTCTATAGAGATTTTGAAGTTTGGCCTCCTGTTATTGTAGCTGCTGCTTAATTATTAGCTTGAGCTATTGTAATTAACTAGCTGGTACCAGATATGTTGAATAATGGATGCTGCTATCTAAGACTATGTAAATCTATGACACTTTACTGTTCCTAAGTTAATTTTTACTTTTTCTGTGAGTTGGCTCCATTGTTTCTTAGGCATACATGCTATGATACTTTCTTGATCTAGTAGACCCACCTATTATAATTTCATGTGGGATTTGATTAGACTCTTGAGTAGATTTTTCTTGGTGCTCTGTTATATTTCTCTTGTAGTATGAAAGGAATTGTTTCTCAGGGATGATTTTTAAAACAGTCTGGTTGGTGTCATTTTGTCCGTTCTCAACTTTTGAAAAGCAGTTTTCTTCTTTTAAAAATACTCCTTTTCTGCATAATGTAATAAACATTTATCATAGAAAATGGATTTTTCTTGTGATTGCTTGTTTTCTGATGCTTCAGATATTGGAAACAGTCTTCTGAGACATTGTTTCTTCCCATTGCTCCTTACTGATCACAATTCCTACAAAACTAAGACAAGTAACTTATTTTTTCTGAACTACACTGGCTCTGGAAATTTTCCTTTAGAATAATTATGAAAAAGCAATGTTGATAAAAAGGCATTCTCATGGAACGTTGATGTCTAGAACTGGAAAAGTGCCTTTGTTTATAAAAATGTATTTGGCTGCTCTGTCATGCAGAAATAAGAACCAGTTAATCCAGTTCTTATTAGCCCATCGTTTATAAAAAGTGATTATTAACCCATCACACTTTATAAGAAGTGATTCTCTCCTGTTTGAATTCTTAAGTATCGAGGGGTTAGATGAGCTTCATTTAAGAGAGAGCAGAGATGGATTAGTTTTGGCTTTTTACCACGGTCATTGATAAGCTTGGTCAAAAAGATCTTCTTGGAGCCAGATTTATCCCTTAATATGTCTTTGACATTATAATGCCTCTCGCTAAATTTTGGATGATCAATTTTATCGATACTGTTAGATAAATAAGGAGCTCTGGTGGCGTAGAGGTTAATGCATTTAGTGGCTAACCAAAAGGTCAGCAGTTCAAATCCACCAACTGCTTTGCGGGAGAAAATGAGGCACTGTGGTTCTGTAAAGATTTATAGCTTTGGAAACCCTATGGGGCAGTTCTACTCTGTCTTACATACAGGGTCACTATGAGTTGGAATAGACTCAATGACAGTGGGTTTGGTTTTGGTTTGATAAATACGCAGACACTGAAAAAAGCATTCACAACTAGCACTTCATAATATAGAAATACTTAGATAATTGTGTAGAATTTTATTTGTAGAACACACTATGGGACTGATAACTGGAAAATATTAAAATAGATGGCACCACATTCAGGTGTAAAGCGTCTATCTTTAATGTATTTAGTTGTATTGCCACCTGTTAATCATTGTAGTCTTTTTTTTGTCTTTCATTTGGCAGAAAAGACAGCTTTGATTTCTGGCTGCAAAAAAGATATGAGGAAGAGCTCCTCCCCTTCCTTGAGTAACTGCAACTCCGTTCTTGCTAACAAAATATTTGGAATTCCACTTGATGAGCTGCAGCAGGGAGGACATCCAGACAATGAGGTTCCATTCATAGTCCGCCACGTTGTGGACTATATTGAGGAACATGGTATACATTTCCTTATTTTGAAGGCTAGGCTTTGTTTTAATAAACACAGTTTCCCTTTTTGACCCTGGATTTTTTTAAGTATCAAAAGTCTAAAATACAGTGAGAAAAAAAAAATTGAAAAACCATCTTTAGTTTGTTTTTCACTCAGATTCATATACTTAAAAATGATAGAAGCTAAGCTAGAACATTTTTAGTGGGAATGATACTAATATTTTTAATGGATATGTAGGGGTGGGATAAAATAGAATATCCCCAAGGACAGAGAGTATTATTTCTAGATGTGTAAGTTGAAGGCTTTTAACCAAATAAAGGGGAGCCAAGAATGGCTTCCAAAAGTCTGAGAATTTTAAGTTGATTGGAGAATGACTATATATGGCTAAATAGCGAAAGTCGCAACTTGTTTAATTTTTGCCTTGAACTAATGTAGGAGGTCTGGAGCAACAGGGACTTTTTCAAGTCAATGGAAATGCTGAGACAGTGGAGTGGCTTCGGCAGAGATATGACAACGGAGAAGAGGTGGATTTGGTTAAGGAAGCAGATGTTCCCTCAGCTATTAGTCTTCTTAGGTTTTTCCTTCAAGAACTTCCTGAACCAGTTATCCCTGGCAGTTTGCATATTCACTTGATGCAGCTTTCTCAAGGTAATATAACTTGACTCCTATCAATCATTCATTATTACTAATTTCAAAGTCCTTACCTTTTAGAAATCTTGACATATAAACAGTAATTTTAGTAGCTGTGAGATTAATTTTAAGCCATCAATTGCTCTTAGGGTATATAGTCAAGAGAATGATGACTTCTTAAACCCTTGTGGTCCTATTTACTTTTTATGATTGGTCTTATTAAGCCTAAGATGAGGATAAAAAGGAAAAGAGGAGAGGGAGGGAAGAGACAAGAACAAGGAGTAGGAGGGTAGAGAAAATAGGAAGGAAAATGTATATAAAGGGCTTTGTTTGGCAGGAAGTCCAGTAATAGCCAAAGATGTTGCTTAATGGTAATATTAATACAGGATGCTTTTCCCTGGTTTTCTAGAACTGCCCCATAGGGTTTCCAAAACTATAAATCTTTACAGAAATAGACTGCCACGTCTTTCTTTTGTGGAGTGGCTGGTGGTTTTGAAACACCGACCTTTTGGTTAGCACTGAGTGCTTTACCCCTTGTGCCACCATGGCTGCACTTGATGAGAATTTTTTTTTTTTTCCTGTTACTGGAAACTCATTGACATAATAAACACAAAGCCTAGTGTTCTGGTTACCTTGTATCGTTCTGACAAGAATATACCAGAAATGGGATGGCCTTAACAAACAGGAGTTTATTCTTACAATTTGGAGGCTTTAAGTCCAAGTTCAAAGTGCTAAGTTCTAGGGGCTGGGTGAAAGCTTTCAACCCTGGGGTCCAGCTCTGCCTCCTGCTCCTAGCCCACTGGAGCTAGAGGCATTTCTTCACTCAGATAGCTGTTGGCTGCTGAGGCTGAGAAGCCCCAAGGTTGACAAGTAAAAAGGCACAGTCCTGATGTTACCAAACCACACAGCAGACCATCAACTTAAGTCCATTGTAAGTCCCAAGGTTGGCAGAGCATAGCAGGCTGCTGAACAATGACACAGCTACATGCAGGGTCCAAGTGTGCCATAGGCTAGAGACCATTCCCAAGGTTTCTCTTTAAATACAGGAAGCAGACCACATCCCAAAGGCAGCTACTCAGCTGCTTGTGGTAGATCCCACCATGGACTTGATTGCCAGTCTCATCATGGGATATATTATCACCAGCTGCCCAGCCACTCAACCAGGCTCAGCCAAGTTGACACACAAACATAACCATCATACCTAGCTCCTGCTAATGAAGATTCACTTGATAAATAAAAAATAGTATTAATTTAGAGGAGAAAAACAAATTAGAAATGGAAAACCTATTAATTTCTTGATATTGTTGAAGTTACTAGTTTTTTTTCCCCAGAATATCAGGGGAAGAAGAAAATGTGGTACAATTTGTTACACTGTTCCTTCCTTGTTTGGACATTGATCCAAGTGGAAAAAGTATCATCCATATTCTTAGCCCTTTGTGTTCTTTCTCTGCTCACTGTAGTAGTTGGTGTTGACTGACACTGGCTACTACTTTTTTAAAATAATGCATTTTATTGAAATAAATTTATGTACAGTGAAATAAACAAAACTAAAGTGATATGGGTCAATGCTTTTTTTTTGGGGGGGGGGGCAGTATTCTGCAAAAAACATTGCACCCTGGTAACCAACAAAGAAAGTTTCCTTCCGTATATAAACCTTTCCTTGACTTTTTACAATAATGAACTAATACTGTATTTGTTCTTCTGTGATTGACTTATTTCACTCAGCATAATGTCCTACAAGTTCATCCATGTTATGCAGTGTTTGCAGATTCTACATTATTCTTTAGTGTTGTATAGTATTCCATTGTATGTGTATGTACCATAGTTTGGTTATCCATTCTTCTGTTGATGGGCACTTAGGTTGTTTCCATCTTTTGGCTATTGTAAATAGTGCTACGATGAACATGGATGTGTGTATATCTGTTCTTGTCCTGGCTTTTACTTCTTTAGGATTTATACCTAGTAATGGGATTGCTGGGTCAAATGGTATTTCTAATTCCAGCTTTTTAAGGAATCACCATACTGTTTTCCACAGTGGTTGTATCATTTTACAGTCCCACCAGCAGTGTATGAGAGTCCGAATCTCTCCATTATCCTTGCCAGCATTTGTTATTTTCTGTCTTGTTGAAGTTTGCCGTTAGTGCTGGGGTGAGATGATATTTCATTGTTGTTTTGACTTGCATCTGTCTAATGGGTAATGATAGCATTTCTTCATGTATTTGCTGGCCACCTGAATATCCTCTTTGGTGAAGTGTCTATTCATGTCTTTTGCCCCGTTTTTAATTGGATTGTTAATCTTTTTGTTGAGGCGTTGGAATTTTCTATGAATTTTAGAGAAGAGTCCCTTGTAAGATATGTAATCATTGACAAGTACGAATTTGTTGCTGTCGTTTTGTTTTGTGCTTTTTCATGGTGTTGATTTCTTCCATATAATTTTCTGTGCTGAACTTGTTTTGTTTATGAATTGTGTTAACCACTTCCTTCATTGCTGTTGTTTCAGTATTTGCTAAATATCTGTGCATTTTATCTTGCAGTTGTCTTGACTTCCCTACCATTTAGAAGTTCTGTAACTACACCATTTTTTCCCCTTTTCTGGTTTGTAGTTGTTCTTATTTGTCAATTGATGTCTCTGGTTCCCTGTTTATAGTCTTGTAGGCTTACTTTGGATACTTCTATAACTGGGTTGGTTTCTGGGTTATGTCATCATGTATGTTAATGGTCAATTGTTGTTTGCTGTTGTTGCTTCTCTGTCCAAAGGACTCTCTTTAGCATCTCTTGTAAGGTTGATCTGGTTTTAACAAATTCCCTTAATTTCTGTTGCTCTGGAAATGTCTTAATTTCACCATCATATTTAAGGGCCAATTTTGCCAGGTATATAATTCTTGGTTGGAAATTTTTTCTCTTTCAGGGTTTTATATATACCATTGACAGTTTTTTCTGTGATTTTATTTTCTCTTCCTGTTCTGGAATTCCGATTATACGTAGGTTGTTTGTTTTGATGGAATCCCACATGAATCTTTGGCTTTCTTCATTTTGTTTTGATCATTTTTCTGATTGATTCCTTTCCAAAGAAGTATTGAGGTATTTACCTTCAATGTTATTAATTCTGTCTTCCATTGATTCAATTCTGCTCCTTTGCCCATTCAATATGTTATGTATTTATGAAAATTTAATATTAATCTTCTAGATTTCTGTCTATAGATTTTGTATCATTTCTAATTTTTCCTTTATTTTGTCATTTTGTTCTTGTATTGTCTTTCAGAATTGTTTTAGGGTTTTCTCTATGTTTCCTCTGTTTTGTCACTGTTTTCCTTGATTTGTCTCTCAATTTGTTGAAGGTACCGAAATATTCTTTTGAATTTCTTATCAGGGAGTTCCATTGCTGCTTCTTCCTCAGGGATGTGTTTTGGGTCTGTATCCTGATCCCTTGTTTCTTCTGCTGCTTTCTCTTGCTTCTTTGTGTGGACTGTGATGCTCTGTTGTCTTTGAGGCATTGTGACATTTTTGTGTTTATATTTAGTTGGTCATTGTATGTTGGAATGACTTGTCCATGATTTTTGTTTTGTTTGTATGTTATCTATGTCATCAGGGTACTGTGCTTTGCTCCTCTGTTCACTAGTTGGCAGCACTTGTATACTCACCACCTGTCTCCTTTCCCGTTGTTAGCCTCCTGTATGTCCCTGCTGTCCTTGGCAAATAGAACCTATTCTTAGGTCCCTGGAATCTGAATGAGAACGCTGTAACTTTAAAATCCAAAATGGCCACTGCTTGTAAACACTCGAAATGGCTGCACCCTTGGTCACTTTAAATATCCAAAATGGCTGCTGCTTATAAACAATCAAAATGGCTGCACCCTCGGTCACTTTAAATATTCAAAATGGCCACTGCTTGTAAATGATCAAAATGGCTGTGCCCTCTGGACAGCTCAGGTTGTCTCCCTGCTTGCTGTTTCCCTTCCTAGTCATAGGCCGCCAACGCAGTTGTCCTTCAGCCCTTGGCGACCAAGGCTGATAATTAGGTCAATTCTCAGGTCCCAGCACCACGTGGAAATATTCAGGCTGTTGGTCCTGTTGGAGTAGCTGACAGTCCACTGCTCTGACCATCTCTGTACTCATTGTTTCATTCAGATTTTTCCGCTAGTTTGTGCCTAATCTACTTTTGTATACTTCACTTAAAAGCTCAGGGCTCCAGGATTATCTTTTATATCTCTGCCAACTGGTTTCTCTTTTCTTTGTTGAAGAGGATCTGTGTAGCTTGTCTGCCTATTCCGCCATCTTATCAGAAGTCTGGCTAGTACTTTTTGACTCCTTATTTGTTGTTGTTAGATGCCATTGAGTTGGCTCTGACTCATAGTGACCTGGTGTACAACAGAAGAAAACGCTTTCCTGTCATGTACAATCCTCCCAGTCCTTGCTATGCTTGAGCCCATTGTTGCAGCCACTGTGTCAATCCATTTTGCTGAGGGTCTTCCACTTTTTAGCTGACCCTCTACTTTACCAAGCATGATACCCTTCTCTAGGGAGTGGTCCGTTCCTGCATCATTACCAAAGTAGGTGAGATGAAGTCTGGCCATTCTTGCTTCCAAGGAGCATTCTGGATGCACTTCTTTCAGGACAGATTGGTTCATTCTTCTGGTGGTTGATGGTATTTTCAGTATTCTTCACTAGCACCATAATTCAATGACGTCAACTCTTCTTTGGTCTTCCTTATTTATTGTCCAGCTTTCACATGCATATGAGGCTCTTGAAAATACCATGGTTTGGGTTAAAAAAAAAACAACACAGAACTAAACTCACAGTCATTGAGCCATTCTGATGCATAGCGACCCCCATTAAGTTTCCAAGGTGGTAAATCTTTATGGAAGTTGATTGATTGTGTCACCTTCCTTCCTCATCTTTGAACCACCAACCTTCTCCTTAGCAGTCAAATGCCTTAGGCACTGTGCCACTGGAGCTCCTTATGGCTTGGGTTAGGCACACCTAACTCTTCAAAGTGACATCTTTGCTTTTTAATGGTTTAAAGAGGTCTTTTGCAGCAGATTTATCCAGTGCAGTATGTTGTCTGATGTCTTAACTGCTGCTTCCATGGGTGTTGATTGTGGATCCAAGTAAAATGAAATCCCTGACAACTACAATCTTTTCGCCATTTGTTGTGATGTTGCTTATTGGTCTAGTTGTGAGGATTTTTGTTTTCTTTATGTTGAGATGTAATCCATACTGAAGACTGTAGTCTTTGAACTTCATCAGTAAGTGCAAGTAAGTCATCTTCAGTGCCAGCAAGCAAGGTTACATCATCTGCGTATCGCAGGTTATTAATGAGTCTTCCTTCAGACCTGATGCCCTCTTCTTGTTCATATAGTCCAGCTTCTCAGATTATCTGCTCAGCTTACAGATTGAATTAGTGTGATGAAGGATACAACCTGGCATTAGGATGCACACCATCCTAATTTCGAATGACAGCCTCCTAGTCTGTGTGTATGTTCTTCATGAGCACAATTAAATGTTCTGGAAATCTCATTCTTCATAATGTTAGCTAAAATTTGTTATGATTAGCACAGCTGCATGCCATAGCATAGTAGTAAAGCACAAGTAAACATCTTTCTGGTATTCTTAACTTTCAGCCAAGATCTATCTAACATCAGCTATCATGTCCCTTGTTCCACATCCTCTTCTGAATCCAGCTTGCATTTCTGGAAATTCCCTGTCAATATATTGCTGCACCTGTTTCTGAATTATCGTCAGCAAAATTTTTACTTTTCTGTGATATTTATGATACTGTTCAATAATTTCCACATTCTGTTGGATACTTTTCTTTGGAATGGGTACAGATATGGGTTTCTTCAGTCAGTTGGCCAGGTAGCTGTCTTCCAGATTTTTTGGCATAAATGAGTAAGCGCCTCCAGCACTGCATCTGTGTGTTGAAACATCTCAATGGGTATTCCATCAATTCCTGAAGCTTTGCTTTTTGCGATTCCTTTTGTGCAGCTTGGACTTCTTCCTTCAGTATCATTGGTTCTTGATCACATTCTACCTTATGAAATAGCTGAACGTTGACCATTTCTTTTTGGTACAGTGACTCTCAGTATTTCTTCCATCTTCTTTTGATGCTTAATGCATCATTCAATATTTTGCCCATAGCATCCTTCAGTATTGCAACTTGATGCTTGAATTTTTCTTAAGTTTTTTCAGCTCGAGAAGTGCCAAGCATGTTCTTCCACTACTTGCTTGTCGGTTTGTCATTTCATGGTAGATTGTGTGTTGCTGTGAGGCTGGAGGCTATGTCACTGGTATTTCAAATACCAGCAGGGTCGCAGGGTCACCCACGGTGGATAGGTTTCAGCAGAGCTTTCAGACTAAGACAGACTGGGAGGAAAGATGGGTCCATCCACTTCTAAAAAATTGGCCAAAACCTAATGAATAACAATGAAACACTGTCTGAAATACTGACTCTTTCTAATTTGGAAATACAAGTATAGTCATATAAGAGACAGTATATTGGAAACTGAGAAAAAGAAATGTATCTATACACACACACACACACACACACACAAAATATGAATTGAGGCCAGTGAGAAACAGATGAGGAATCATCCTCCAGAAATAATTGAGGGGTTGAATTATTTTTTTTTCTTCACCTTCCTCTCACTAACTTTTCTCTCCCACTTAATAAGTGAAATGCAAAGCCCTAAGGCATCTAACTTCTAGTAGAGGAAGTAGGGAGGTTTTGAATTGTTATAGTAAAAGGATGATGTGGGTGGAGTAATGTTAACCTGGCAAAATATCTGAGCTTTGCTTTTACTTCATTAAAAAAAACAAACCTGTCATTATCTTTTATAGATTATAATAATGAAGATGAATTTGGAAGAAAGTTGAGGTTCCTCTTGCAACAGCTGCCACCTGTTAATTACAGTTTGTTAAAGTTTCTGTGTAGATTTTTAGCCAATGTAGCATCACATCATGAAGAAATTTGGTCCGCAAATTCTTTGGCTGCAGTCTTTGGTCCTGATGTCTTCCAGTAAGTTGTTTTATACATTTTTCTTTAATTAAAAGAAAAACGAGGGAGGGGGGGTTATAAAATAGAATCATACTGTCCCCTAAGAATTTTAAGGTATTTGGTGAACCATTATTTTTTTAATAGTAGATCTGATTAATCCTCCCAGCATTTTTGTGAACAGGGTACAAATTAGATAGGATTTACAGATGGGAATACTGAGGCACAGAATGATGACAGAAATTGCTCAGATTCATAAATTGACTCACTGGTTGTCTCTCACTTCAATTTGAACTTTCATTCTTAGCATTTACACAGATGTGGAAGATCTGAAAGAGCAAGAAATAGTAAGCAGGATAATGGCTGGTCTTTTGGAAAATTATTATGAGTTTTTTGAGAATGAAGAGGAAGATTTTTCATCCAATGATTTGAGTTCAATTACTGAACAGGTGAGAATAACTTAAATATTCTACTTGGAGGGAGAATTTTTTAAGAAAATATATGATTAAGAGATTCATATAAAATGTATGGAGAATTTAATTGGAAAGAATTCTTTTGGTTCTTATATGTAATCACTAAATGACATGCCCATGTAGTATATGAATGTGTTGTTTTTTCTGAAGCACTTTTTGTCCTTAATTTGGATAACATGGAAAAGGCATTGAAACCAGAGTCTGTGGTAGAGGTTTTTATTATTGTTGTTGTTATTATTCTGTTAACCCAAGCATTGTTTATTTTGTAAGAATAGTGTTAGTTGTTGTTATTTGTCTCCCTCCCCCAAGAGACTAGTAATAGGATTGTAGGCAAAGGATGAGAAATAGAAGGTAGAGGAAAAAGTTCAATACAGAAGTCATGGAAAACAATTCTTAAAATATATACAGCATGGGAAAATAAAATGGAAGTGTTTAGAAGCTGATAGAAAATGAATTTTAACATGAGGATTATTATTAGTAATACTATCATTCTTAGCAATTTTCTTAATTAAAATAAATTGATACAGTAGTGCAATCATTATTGTAAAGGGAAGTACCTAAAGAACTAATAGTTGAGGTTGCAGATCATTTAGCTCTGGTGACTCTTGAATATTAAAATACATTTCTTAGGATGCATTATGATATTTTGTTATCAGTACTGTGCTTGATGGTTGAGACTGTACAAAGATCCTAGCTCCTTTATGAAATTTTTTATAAAGCCATATTGATCTAGATTCCTCTGGTTTAGAATTTGTGATATACATCTTTGTGGAGGTTTTGTTTTGGCACTGAAATAAAGTGGTTACCAAGCAAACTTTTTATTTGGTTAAGGGATGGGTTTATTTGATTTGGCTTCAACTTTTGTTTTTCCCCCAAATGGATAATAATATACCTGTTTTTATTTTTATTTTTTTTAATAAGATGTATAGTAAAAAATTTCCATTTAAGAATAAAAAGTCTTGCCACCAACTCTTACCCATTTCTTCCCTATCTAGCCCTCTCCTTCCCTTACTGGTTTCTTACATGCTTTTTCAGAGGTCTTTTTTTTTAAAAACGTGAATATAAGTAATTATTTTCTCACAGTTTATTAATAGGAAAAGTAGCATATTGTGCACACTGTTGTATATATACCTTGCTTTATATCGGCTAATATTGCCTCTTAGAGCTCTTTTCTTTATCAGACTATATAGAGAGGATATTCTGGTATTTTTATGTCTGCATTTTTTGCTATTATATGGATGTACAACCTTAAAATTTGATTTATACTATCAGTTCCCAGTTGAAAGGCATAGCCTGGTTTTCCCAGAACAGTCCTCATTTAAGTCTGCTTTTTGGTAAAGTTACGAACATTTCTTGTTTCACTCTCAAATGTATCCAGATTTAAATAGTAAATTATATTGTCATACTCTATACTGATGGACATTTGGAGTGTTTCATTTGCTATTATATTATGAGGTAGCCTCTCTTAACAGGTAGTTTATTACACAGATTTCCAGTGGTTTGGTAGGTCTTGGTTCTGATTATATGAATTTGGAGTTTATTTTCTGTGTAGCCCAACCTTTATTTAAAAGAATTTCTATCCTGTGGTGAACTTCAGTGGATGCAACTTTTTAATATATAGGGTTTGTGCTTTCCTTACTTTTTCATGTTTTTTTCAGGTAAGCATTTATCTTTCTTTGTTTTCCTGTGTCTCACTTAAAACATGAATTGGGTCTTCCTTTCCTTCTCCTCCTTTCTCTCCCTTTCATTCTTCCTTTTTCAAGTATTAGGAATTTTGAAGAAATGGCAACAGATGCCAGATTGCAGCTTGCAATGTGTAAACTTGCGGTTGAAGTCAATGTGCATATATATGTGAAATGAATAGATAGAATGTGTAGACTGGATTAATGACACATGGAACGTTAGTAATGTTTTCTGAAGTTCCAATTGTCATATATTGTTCCTGATTAAAAATTTGGTTAAAATAAAGAACTGATGCAGCTCTTCAAACTTATTCTTGCTTAAAAGAAAATGACAAGAAGAGAGCAAGTAATTAGGTAGGCCTTAAACTGTTAATGACTTTTGATGCCTAGAGAAAACTCATCTGTTGGGGAATTCTGTGTACCTTCTTTTTCGCCCCTAAACTATATTTTAGTTCAGCAATTTTAAAAAATAAAACTAATGGTTGCTCAAAATAAAATAGTATACACTTCATTTTGTACATTTTAAGATGATTTGTCTCATAAGAAATGGATGTTACCAACTTGACCTTATATTTTATATTTTTTGACTCCTTTGAAGTCTGCAGAGTATGCTTTTGTTATATTTTATATTATCATGTAATTCTTTGCTGTTTCTCTTATCCAATGGATTCCTTATGTATGCTAAAATATATCCATATTTAATCTGTATTGTATTTGCATTTTTTTAAGCACTTGGAAATTGAGTTAATATATATTGTGCTTTACATTAAATAGAATGTTAGTTGAAGTAAGCAACACCAGGAAATAATATTGAATTCTGCAGATTTGCCCATGGAAATAAGAATACTAGCTTATTGAGGAAAAATATGCTCAATAAATGGAATAGTACAGTGGGTCCTGAGAGACAGTGATACATAATTAGTTATCTTGACCCATGTTGCTAATTATCAGAATCTGTTTTACCTGTTTTTATTATATTTCTGAATTATAAATGGGTTGCAAGTAACCAGAAGGACAGATTTCCAGAATTTTTTTTTTTACTCCTTTTTAAAGCAGGTTTAATAACTTCAATTTGATTTGTGAGGTGGAATTAATAAAGTATTTGAATGAAAGTAAAATTTCCTCAAATTCAGCATACTTTGGTTATATTTTAAAGTTGTCCCAATTTAAATGCTGCTTATTTCTTACCCACATATTTAAAAATATTTATACACAAAGGTACAGTTATGTCAGTGCTTAGATTTTTTCCTGATACTGATGTTTGAAAGAAGCAAACTTTATCCAGCGCTCTCTTCTTTTGGAGTCTCATCCCATTAATGCAAGTGTTTGACTTTAGAACCTTTTCAAGGTAATAGATATTCTGTTAATAAAATGAGAGAGATGACTGGAGATGATAAATAGGGAGTATTTTGAGAAATGACCCAGAGTCAAGTGGACAGGCTCTTTGTCTAGGATCCTTAAATGAATGAGAATCCAGTGGAGTGGTTTGAAGATGGAGGTTATAATTATGTTTCTTTATACATTTGAGAAGGCAGGTAGCAGCGTTCTCCACAAGCTGGAGTCTGGAGAGCAGGCATTTCACGAGGCCCTAGAGAAGGGAATTACAACAGTCAAAGAAAGAAGAGATGTAAGTATGGATGAAGGTTTTCCTTAAGTGGAGTTGAGGCAGCTGCGTACATAGGACAGGTTCAGAATAACTTGAAAACAGAGTGTGGATAAGAGGAAAGTCATTTGACAAGTGGAGGGTGAAGAGGAACTTTTGGAGATTAGTGTGGGGTAGAGAGCATTTTATCTAAGTCTTTAATATTCTTACCCAAAGTAATTAGTCAACTCTTACCATAGGAAGTTACATTTGGGAGGCCTGGGAATTGGGAGAGGGGAGAGCAACCCATAGGCTACTGTTAATATCATATTTTAATTGGTGATCATTGATGAAAATACTGGAGAATGTCAGTTAATTTAGCTTATTGAATTGAATATAATATATTCAATATAAATGAGTCTAAGTCTTCCATAGTTCCTGGGAGCTATTAACTGTAGGCAAAAACTGCTTTTAAAAAGTCTGATGTGTTAAAATACTAGTACCCCTGTACCTAAAATTTGTGCACTGAGTAAATACTCATTTATTTTCAGTTTAAATAAACATAATAAAAAAAAAAAATTCTGTTGTACCCAAGCTTTTAATAGTCAGCTATGATAATTTCCATTTTATACTCCTGAAAGTAGTATTGCCAATTGTTTTCTTTTCTTGTTTAGGTTACTAGGTAAATAGTAAGTTGCTTCTCTTGATTTTCACTAATTTATTAAATAAATAGATGAAGAAAAAGTATAATTTTCCATTTGACCTGGCTTAAAAATTGATCTATCATTTGAAGTCTTCACCTTTGTGTATAAATCTTACATTTCAGTTAATAACTACTTGGGCCAATGATTTTCAGTCATTTTGTTTTGTCACCATTATACCTAATAGATGAAAGATAATTATTGTTGCTGTTGTTAGATGCCTTCAAAGGGTAGTTAGAAATAACATTTAAAAGTACAACACATTCAACAGAAACCTGCCACAAACTGGTTCACATAACTGAAGTCATTAACTATTGTTTATAATCAATTTTTAGTGACCTGTGTGACTAGTGACCTTAATATATCAGTTGTTGAGAGCTCTTGCTTTAGGTAGTTTGGATGACAGATAGCAACTTCATTTCTTATAAATAGCAGTGTTATTTGTAGAAACTAGGATCTGTATTGTATGGAAGTAAAATAATAGCTGGTAGTTAAAATAATAGTTATTTATTATTTCTTATATATGGACACTGCTGAGGAGTTTTAAATATTTAATCTTTCAGCCAACTCTATTTTGCACATGAGCCTTGGAGAAGTTAAGTATGATGCCAGGCATAGTTAGGGGCACAATAAGGATGTGAACATAAATCTTCCTGACTCCAAAGCCTGGTTATTAACTACTACTGCATTATCCTTGAAAGCAGGCAGTCTGTACTTACTGATTAAGAATGTGATGAACAACAAACTAATTCTAGGTATTTTCAGTGTATTTGACTACAAAGGACAAAAGTATACTTTTACTGTTCCTTGTTATTAACTACTACTATTAATTTCTAAAATGTTATGGCCATTTCTGGGTAGTTTCTTCTGGTGATGGTGGTGGTGTGTGCCGTTGAGTCGGCCCCAACCCATAGCGACCCCTCCTTGGGTTTCCGAGGCAGTATACTACGGAAGTAGATTGCCCAACCTTCCTTTGGAGGAGTGGCTGGTGGGTTTGAACCGCCAGCCTTCTGGTTAGCAGTCAAGTGCCTTAGGCACTATGCTACCAGAGCTCCCAGTTTCTTCTGGTAACTTAAATAGAAACTTTCTTCCTTGAAAATATTTTGTTGGGTTTTGTTCTCTAATCTTTCAGTGTCTGTTTATTTGAGTGATTATATACTTATGAGTTATCATGTACTTTGGTAATGGAGGACAATTTGTAGTCCTGTCAGAAAGATAATTATAACAGAATTGTGCCTAATGGTCAGAACAGTGACTTCTTGGTGTAGGGTCCCATCTCTTCATGAAAAATTTAGTCTGAATCATTTGTAAATAGCCACTCTTTTCTAAAACAAAGCTAACAGCTTAAGGCAAAATTTTTGTGCCCTTCTGCCTATCTTCATGCTTACTCTGTGTTAAAATGACTTCTGTAATGCACCTGGAAATCGAGATACCAATTAAAAGTCTTTTGTCACTGTTACATTTACAAAACTCATTGAATAGAAAATGAAACAAAGCAGACTAAAGTGTATAAGCTTTTTCATAGTTTACCGTCTTACTTACATTCCCAGTGTTGTTTTAATGCACTTTATTACTGATTGCTTCAAAATATTGTTTGTCTGGTTTGCAATTTTATTTTGATATGGAAAAGGTTAGAATTAAATCCATAAGAAAGAGAAAAAAAAAGGTTGTTTGTGTTAAAAAAATAGAATAGTATGATTTAATAGTCAAAAGTTTTATGAAATTTTAATTCTCAATTTCCTTTTATCTATGTAGGCTAATGAACTTTCCGAGGAAGAAGAGGAAGATGAAAAGCTGGAACATATAGAAGAACTTCCAGAAGAGGGTGCAGAAAAATCAAATGACATGCCAGAGGTGGTACATTTAAGAATGACTGAAAACGTTCTAGACCCAAATGGTGTTACAGCATCAACAAGGTAGTATTTTAATTGAATGAACTTTAGCTTTTGCACAATTCATTCTAGATGTAGACTCATTCCAGTAGTACCACCATACACATAAAGACTATGTAAAGGATGGACATTTGTATATGAAAAAGAAGAAGAAAATTTTAAAGGAGCAGGCTTGGTAAGGAATTTTCAGTTACTAGTTTAGTATTTATATGTTTATTTATAACTTCTTATGAATATTTCTTTTTAAGATAAGTTCACTTTGTTTTTATATTAGCTTGCTAATTCAGAACCTGTGGGAATAAAATTACTAGAGAAAGATACAGTGGCTGAAATGACATACATTAACACCTTCTAGGCTGGAACTAGGTTGTAAAGAAAGACTCCGTGATCCATTTAGGTAGTGCTTTCCAATTCTTTTCATGTATAAAATGTCAATATAGGTTTCCACTCCTATCTGAAAGTAGAGCATTCCTGTAAAACCTTTCATAAGCTGAAATGGCATAAAATGAAGAATTAATTACCATTAATTTACATGGGGAGCATTGCCAGACCCAAAATAACCTACCAATCATATGAAATAAAACATTAAATCTAAAATAACACTGACATTATAGTGTTCACAGATAAAATTGAAAGCTGTAAGGGCTTGATGCTGAGATGCGGAGTGTAGTGCCAGGGAAGGAGCTTGGCAATGTCATTCTCGCTGCTTGGAGTATGCACTGCCTCTTAAACGTCTCGTTGCAAAACAGATGTTAAACACTAGTTTTGCTTTTTGCCTTTTTATCTTAAAGGCAAAAATCCTCTTAGGATTTCAGCTCGCACAAACAGGTATTAATGTAGGTCTGGTGAAAATGAAGTGGCATAAAGTTGCTTCACAGACTTTAAAAAAGTGGAGCATACTTGTATTCACTTGGCATACTGGGTGTGGTAGTTACGTTTGTGTGTCAACTTGGCTGGGCCTGGTTGAGTGGCTGAGCAGCTGGTGGTAGTTACTCCCCATGATGAGACTGGCAATCAGTTCCATGGTGGGATCTACCACAAGCAGCTGAGTAGCTGCCTTTGGGAATGTAGTCTGCTTCCTGTATTTAAGGAGAAGCCTTGGGAATGGTCTCTAGCCTATGGCACGCTTGGGCCCTGCATGTAGCCGTGTCATTGTTCAGCAGCCTGCCATGCTCTCCCGACCTTAGGACTTACAATGGAGTTAAACTAATGGCCTGCTGTGTGGTCTGGTAACATCGGGACTGTGCCTTTTTCTTTGCCAACTTTGGGGCTTCCAGCCTTGGCAGCCAGCAGCTGTTTGAGTGAAGAAATGCCTCTAGCTCCAGTGGGCTGGAAGCAGAAGGCAGAGCTGGACCCCAACGTTGAGGGGCTTTCACCCAGCCCCTAGAACCTGGCACTTTGAACTTAGACTTAAAGCCTCCAAATTGTAAGAATAAACTCCTGTTTGGTAAGGCTATCCCATTTGTGGTATATTTCTTGTCAGAGCGGTACTAGGTAACCAGAACACTGGGCTAATTCCATAAATGTTGTATGCTATGGGCAATATCCCAGCACATATCTGGGACCATTGGGCACACTATTTAGGAACCTTTGGAGAATTTGAGCCCATACTTGTAGGCTTGCTTAATTCTGTGCTAGTTCTTTGTAAAGCTCCAGGGTTTGCTAAGCCCTGCCAATTAGTGGGGCATAATTATATATTTAGGAGCTCTGGTAGCATAGTGGCTAAGGCACTTGACTGCTAACCAGAAGGCTGGCGGTTCAAACCCACCAGCCACTCCTCGAAAGGAAGGTTGGGCAGTCTACTTCTGTAGTGATACTGCCTCGGAAACCCAAGGAGGGGTCGCTATGAGTCGGGTCCGACACAATGGCACATAACAACAACAACAACAACAACTATATATATTTAATCTGCTAGGTATTAGGAGCTCTGGTGGCATAGTGCTTAAGGCATTTGACTGTTAACCAGAAGGCTGGTGGTTCAAACCCACCAGCTACTCCTCAGAAGAAGATCGGGCAACCTACTTCTGTAGAGATACTGCCTTGGAAACCCAAGGAGGGGTTGCTCTGAATCGGGATCAACTCGATGGCAGTTAGTTTTTTTTTTTTTTTTGGTTTAGGTATTTTTCATTAAAATTTATGTTCATGGAATGGTAGTCAAAAAGCACAGAAAATGATGAGTCAGAAAGCAAAATGTCAGGAAAAAATAACTAGTATTAACAGAAAAAAGGAGCTCTCTATAGTGTTCTTTAGAAGAACTACAAAATAATTTAAAATGTGTATTGCTAAATACAAGTCTCTGGTAGCATAGTGGCTAAGACACTTGCCTGCTAACCGGATGGCTGGCGGTTCAAACCCACCAGCCACTCCTCGGAAGGAAGGTTGGGCAATCCTACTTCCGTAATGATACTGCCTTGGAAACCCAAGGAGGGGTCACTATGAGTCGGGTTTGACTCGTTGGCACATAACAACAACAACAACAACAAAATACAAGTCTGCATGGGCCTCTAGATCTTTATATTATGTACAGTTTTTTTCAAATATAATTTAATATAATCATAACATTTTCCAGTCTTGCCCCTTAACATTTTGTTAATGGTTTTTGTGTTTTTGCATGACTTTCTAATTTTATATTCTGATGGCCTCTTAACTATATTTTAACCATATAATAATTAAGATGTTTATTACTTTATGTTAAGATACTTAACAGTAAGGCACAGTGGGCTAGAGCTTGGCTAGTAACTGAAAGGTCGGAGATTTGAAACCACCTCTCTGTGGGAGAGAAGACCTGGCAATCTGTTTTTGTAACAATTACAGCCTAGGAAACCCTATTGGGCAGTTCTTTTCTGTCCTACAGGGTTATTATGAGTTGGAATTGATGGCACACAACAATGACAACAACATAGAGTACCTAACCATTCTTTTCTCTGGACATTTGGAATTGTTCCAGCTATCTTTTAAGTATTACACTACTGTTAAAAAATCTTTGTTTTTAAACCCTTTTTTCCTTCTTTTGAATTATTTGCTTAAGAGAAAATTTCTGTGTATAGATTTCTTGGGGCCCAAAGACAGAACTTTACTATAGTTTGTAAAAGACTTTGCCCAATTTACTTTGCCATCAGCAGTGTTTTCTTGAAGACTTGGCAACATTGGATTACATGTCTTATGTTTTAGTAATTTTGAGCTGTATTCTCTGGTCACAGCTACATGTGGCTATTTAAATTTAAACTTTAGTTAAAATTAAATAAAATTCAAAGTTCACTTCCACAATTACACTAGCTATACTTTCAGTGCTCAGTAGCTTTATCTAGCCACCATAGTGAACAGTGCAGAGACACAACATTTCCATCGACACAGAAATTTCTGTGGAACAGCACTGATTTAGAGTGTAAATTCACTGAGGATTTTAATATATTTAATCACCTGCAAGACAAGTGTTAAATACGTGTTTCAGATGACTAGTAGTTTGTGCTCTTTGATCATCTGTCTAGTTCTGTGGAGGATCCTCTTCCCTCCAACACAATCACTTTTAGATAGGTTCATTGGAGATTTCGCAGTTGACAGGATTCTTTAACTGCAAGTCATAGAAACAGCCTCTGGTTAAGTAAAGAATAAAAGCATTTTTTCAGAATGATACCAAGTAGGTTGCAAAATCAAAAGGAAAAGCTGAATAAGCAGGCCTTGGCAAAGGTAAGAATATGGGCAACTCTGGAGAATTTAGAAACAGAAGGTCGTGGAAAGATGTTTTTAGCATGTGGCTGTTGTAACAGCTCAAACTGTTTACCTGAAGAACAGATTTCTGCTGGGGTATGGACAGGCTGCCTAAATTGCATCAAGTGTTCACCCCTTTGGTAACTATTGGAATAGTCATTATAATTTGTGTGTCTACCAAGACTATATGGAAGCAGGGGAGGAGTTCATTTCCCACAGAAAAAGGAGACTATTACCAAAGGGAGGGGATAGGGATATTAAGCAGCAGAAACAAATGTTTACCACAGTTATCTTCTAGATTTAATGATATTTATATATTTCAGCTAACATTTATACATTTCTCTTTTATTTCAGCTTTGGCTGACTCATTGTATAAAGATTTAAAAGTACACATGACTACTTTTTTGGTATTATCTTGCTTCACTAGCTCCTGGGTGGTACAAACGGTTAACACTTTGAGCTGCTAACTGAAAGGTTCATGGTTCAAATCCATTCAGAGTTGCCTCAAGAAAGGCCTGATGATTTACTAGCCATTGCAAGCCTTGTGGTGCATAGTTCTGCTCTGATGCACATGGTGTCACCATGAGTTAGAATCTATTTTGATAGCAACTGGCTTATTGCTTCACTAATTAAAACATTATTTTTAGAATACTTTTTAGGTATATAAGACATCTTATTATGATTGAGATAGTTACTCAGTTTTTAGTTGAGATTTACTTGTACAGATTTTAAGTTTCTTAACTTTTTCTTTGAAGTAAGAACAACCATGGTATATACTGCTTTTAGAGCTTTTCAGTTTTACTCTTAATTTGTTATTAAATATGCATGTGTTACAAACTTTTAAAAATTGTCTACTGGAGAAGGATATCATGATTGGTAAAGTGAAGGTCAGCAAAGAAGGGGGAGGGTCTCAACAAGATGGATTGAAAAAGTGGCTGCAATGATGGGCTTAAGTATAGCAAGGATTGTGAGGATGGCACATGACTGGGCAGTGTTTCTTTCTACTTTGCATAGTGTCGGTATGAGTTGGAGCCTAACAACAGTACCAACATTCACATTAATTCCATGGCAGCCTGAGTTAAGGACTAAAGATGGTTTATATGTATAGATGAGTATTCTATTTAATTAAAAAGAATTTAAAATGTATTTCATTTTATAAATATTTAATAAATATTAGTTGAATGAATAAAAAAAGTGGAATGATGCATGTAACTAGTTAGAGGGAGCAGATGGTTTTGAATGGCCTTTTAGAAAGAATGATTAGTTTTAGATACAGGGTCTTTTTTTTAATGTCATTTTATTTTATTTTATTTTTA